CCCTGCCTACCTGCCCTGGCCCTCTCCCCTCCCTCACGCCCCCGCCCCTCACCTCTCGCAGACGATGGAGTTCAAGTCCCTGCTGCTGTCCCTGTGCCTGTTCCACGGCAATGCTCTGGAGCGCCGCAAGTTTGGGCCCCTGGGCTTCAACATCCCCTACGAGTTCACGGACGGGGACCTGCGCATCTGCATCAGCCAGCTCAAGATGTTCCTGGATGAGTATGAGAACATCCCCTACAAGGTGGGCCGGGGACAGGCTGGGGGCAGGGGGCCAGGCGCTGGTGGGGCCCTCTCACCCACCCACCGCATAGGTCCTCAAGTACACGGCAGGGGAGATCAACTATGGGGGCCGCGTCACGGACGACTGGGACCGCCGCTGCGTCATGAACATCCTGGAGGACTTCTACAACCCCGAAGTGCTCTCCCCCGAGCACAGCTACAGCACCTCGGGCATCTACCACCAGATCCAACCCACCTACGACCTCAACGTGAGCGCAGCCTGGGTTCTGGGGTGGTGGCCACTTGAGTGTGGGTGAGAGGAGTTGTGCTCCCTGCCCTACACTAGCTCCTTCTCAGACTGATCCATCCCACAGAGACAGTCACCAGTGCCTGGGGGCACTCAGTGAGGCAGGGGCAACCCAACCAGCCCACAGTCAGGGAGCCTCCCTGAGGACACGCTGCTTCAGCTAAGCTGTGTGAGGAGCGGTCAGGGGCTAGGTCAGCAGTGGAAAGGAGGGAGAGTGACAGGTTTGAGCAGCCAAATGAAGGAGCTGGGAGATGTATGACAGTGAGAAGGGGGCACCCAATGATGCATCAGCGGCCTTGGAGTCCCAAAAATAATAGGGTTACGACCAGGGTGATGGGGGAGCGTGCTCAGTTGGAGGGATACCACAGGCTGGGCTTCAGCTGTTGTGCCTTCCAATCCCCCAGGGCTACATCTCCTATATCAAAGGCCTTCCCCTCAATGACATGCCTGAGATCTTCGGTCTGCATGACAACGCCAACATCACTTTTGCCCAAAATGAGACTTTCGCCCTGCTTGGTGCTATCGTACAGCTGCAACCCAAATCATCCTCTGTGGGCGGTCATGGCAGAGAGGAGGTAGGTGACAGTGGGAGGGAAAGGGCCCAAGGGTTGGGCAGGGCTAATCTCCTACCCACCACCCCGCCTCCTCTCTTGTGGGATGGAACTCTGTGCATGTGGAATCCTACACAAGGGTTGTGGGAGTCAGCCCTGACCCCCACTATCTCTTTGCCCCTACAGATAGTGGAAGATGTGGCCATGAACATTCTACTCCAGGTTCCGGAGCCCATCAACTTGCAGTGGGTGATGACCACGTACCCCGTGCTGTATGAGGAGTCCATGAACACGGTGCTAATACAGGAGGTCATTCGGTAATCCCCCACCACCCCCAGCCCTGAGTCAGCAGACCACTGGGCTGTAGAGAAACGACAGGAAGGGGTACTATGGGCCAGGTCCCATACCAAGTGCAATAAATCCATCCTCTAACTCAGCCACAGTTTTATTCTCCCATTTTACAAATGAGAAGCCAAGACCCAAAAAGGTTAAGTGAACTAAGGTCTCATATGTGCTAAGGATCAGAGCTGGGATTAGTACCCAGGCTACCCAACCAGTCAGCCATTGTTTTGTTTTGTGCTTTTTGTCTATGGCCCACAACTGGGGTGTAGATGCTGCTAGAGGGTCCTGGCCCACTGCCTGCCTCCTTGCCACTGGCCCATAGGTACAACCGGCTGATACAGGTGATCACACAGTCGCTGCGAGATCTGCTCAAGGCCCTCAAGGGGCTGGTGGTGATGTCCTCGCAGCTGGAACTGATGGCTGCCAGCCTGTACAACAACACTGTGCCCGAGCTTTGGAATGCCAAGGCCTATCCATCACTCAAGCCACTATCCTCATGGGTCATGGATCTGCTGCAGCGCCTAGACTTCCTACAGACCTGGATCAAAGAGGGCATCCCAGTTGTTTTCTGGATCAGTGGCTTCTTCTTCCCCCAGGCTTTCCTGACAGGCACCCTGCAGAACTATGCCCGCAAGTCTGTCATCTCCATCGACACCATCTCCTTCGATTTCAAGGTTTGGATACAGCTAGGGCTAGGTCAGGTACAAGTTGGGGTACAGCCCAGATGGGAGGAGCCTAAGGCCACAGCTGGCTGACAGAGTCAGAGGACCCCTGAGCCGGGGTTGGGGGCAAAGGACAACCAGGCCAGGAGCCCAGGGAAATCACGAGGGGCAGGACATAGACTGCAGGTTACCAGCTAAGATGGTGGGTGTGATGGGCAGGTAGGCAAAGCTCAGGAGGGAGTTTGTGCCTTAGGACCCAAATTCTAATCCAGATTCTGAATGTTGATATGTGTGGGGCATATTTGTGTGCTCACCATAGGTAATGCCCCAAGCAGTGTCAGAGCTCAAGCAAAAGCCAGTCGTGGGGTGCTACATCTATGGACTGTTTCTGGAAGGTGCCCGCTGGGACCCCATGGACTTCCAGCTGGCCGAGTCTCGACCCAAGGAGCTATACACGGAGATGGCTGTCATCTGGCTCCTACCTGTGCCCAACCGCAAGGTTGAGGACCAGGACTTCTACCTGTGCCCCATCTACAAGACGCTGACCCGTGCTGGTACGAGGCTTAGGGCAGGGAGCCTACACTACAGGGGCCCAGGCCTGGGCCAGCTCAGGCCAGTTAGCCTAATCCAGGTTAGCTGAATAAGATGGCCGAGGTCAGCCAGCAGTCCTCAGACCAACGGGGCAGGACATAGCCTGGCAGCAGCAGGCACAGCAGTGTCCAGCAGCTGGCTCAGTCTATGGTGGCCTCTGAGGTCACCATCTTGTTGCCTCCCTCAGCAGATCCACTGTGGGTCCTGGGAGCCCAAGCCTGACAGTAGAGGATCAGAGAGGATAACTGAGGCCTGGAGAGGAGGGATGGGTCTGGGCTGAGTCCAACAGGAAATGTGTGATGGCATCAATTCTCCCATTACTGCCTGTCCTCCTCATTGCATTAACCCTGGACAGGCCTGAGCCGTAGCCAGACCTCCAAGCAGGCTTGCCCTTCAGGATTCCTTCCTTGTCCCCAAATCTGCCAAGTCCATTGCCTTTGCCCTGTCCCTCTCTAACTGTGGCAGACAACTTAACCCTCCCCGTTGCCTGTTCCAGGAACACTATCAACCACAGGCCACTCCACCAACTACGTCATTGCTGTGGAGATCCCCTCCCGCCAGCCTCAGCGACACTGGATAAAGCGTGGTGTGGCCCTCATCTGTGCCCTGGACTACTAGACTTGGATAAAAGGGTGGGAGCCATTAAAGTTGAGTTTTCTTTTCTTTTTTTAAAATATATTTTATTGATTTCTTTACAGAGAGGAAAGAAGAGGGATAGAGAGCTAGAAACGTCGATGAGAGAGAAACATCAACCAGCTGCCTCCCACACACCCCCCACTGGGGATGTGCCTGCAACCAAGGTGCATGCCCTTGACCGGAATCGAACCTGGGACCTTTCAGTCCACAGGCTGACGCTCTATCCACTGAGCCAAACTGGTCTCGGCAAAGTTGAGTTTTCTAAGCAGTCCAGCTGAGCCTTACCTGCTTACACCAACCCCTTTCTGTAGGACTCACTACCAGGGAAATGGAATAAGGGGCTACAGAAGCCTCAAGAGAATGTGGTTAGCAAGGGGAAGAGGGAGCAGAGGTAGCAGCTTTGGCCTGCTGGACCTGTCCAGGTGCAACAAGAGGAGGGACCCCTCTAAGATCCCAGAGCCCCTCCAGGGAGAGCACACCAGCAGGGCTAGAGGCAGCCCTCCTACAACCCAGAACCCCAGGCTCTCTCCAGGTCGCAAAGCTATCAGATCTGTTGAAAGCTTTTGCATGGCCTTTCCCTCCCAAAGTGCACCTTTAACACAACCCTTCACATTCCACAGCCCACCCGACGCCCCTCCTCAGCTCAGGTCCTGAATTCCAGGCCTACCATCCCCAAAATCTCTGCCCCAGAAAGCTGAATACCCAAGAATGCATATTTCTCACCTCTGGTCTTTGAGACTTAGACCCAGGCCTGGTTAGCCCCTCACTCCCACCTTCACCTTGACTACAAACTCAAGTCAGCAACCACAGGAGGGTTTGTTTTTTAGGCGAGTTTTATTCACTCAATGATCCAGTATTTACATGGGGTGGAGGGGTCAGGCTATGCTCAGTGCAGAGACAACTGCCAGGGCTGCCAGCTGTTCCCCACCCCCTCCCAGATCACTATGTACAGGTTAGGGGCCTCCTTGGATCTCTTTCAAAGCCATCTGGCAGAGGGTACGGGGCTGTAGTTGGGGCTGAGCTCCAGACAGTTCTGGGCATCAGGCCCTCTGGGAACATAGGGTTTCCAATGGGCTGTCTTGGTCCTGCAGAACCCACCCTGAGAGCCTTGCAGAGGCTGAGGAAGCTGGTGTGGCAGGGAGAGCTGAGGTGTGCCAGTCTCCTGCAAGCAGCCCTGTCTCTGCTACCCTAGGAGGGAGATACGGTAATACTGAGGGGCTGGGCAGAGGCTCCTCTGAGCCCCAGGCTCCAGGACAGAGCCCAGGAGTCCAAGGCAGGCCCAGTGCCAGGGCCACAACACTGAAGGCAAAGAGCCCCAGGACCCTGCTGTGGACAGCAGACTTGACAAGCCTGACTATAGCCAGGAAGGGACCAAACCACCAAACAGCTCAAACGCTTCTCTCTGCTCAGACCATGGGACCCCAGCAGGTTGCTCCTCTCTTCCCCACTGGGATACCCCACTCCCAACCTAGCCCAGAAGCCAGGTCCCTGAGTTTGGAGCTCTCCCAGGAGGAATGAAGAGCAGACCTGGCTTCCTCATGAGATAACTGGCCGCTACAGCTAGAGCTGCAGGCCCAAGCCACCCAGGCCCCACCAGGATGGCAACTGTTAGGAGAGAAAGCAGTCAGGAAGCCGGCTATGTCAACACAGTGGTGGCAGAACGGGCCAGAGCCCAGAAAAAATAGACGTCTCTGTAGGTAAAATATATATTCTGCTGCCCAGGCAGAAAGGCCAGGTCCTGCAGCCCACAGCCGGCTGTGGAGGCAGCTGCAGCACCTCGCTTTCCCAGCTCCAGCTGCTGCTTCCTGAGCGCTATGGGCTTATCCTACCCAAGTACAATGCAGGGAATCCTGGCCTGGCTTCCCTTTCCAGGGTCTGAGCTCTCTGGCTGGAACCATTCAGTAATACTGGGAAGGGGGAGTGGGGCAGGGAAGAGGCCCTGGTGAGGCCACAAGGCAAGAGCAGGCTGCAGAGTTGGGGCCAGCATCCTCATTGGCGCTTGGCCTTGTAGGGGCGTGAACGTTTCCGCCGGTCAGGCTTCCGCTGCTTGTGGAGCCGGCCAATGCTGACGCCTTGGCGCCGCCGCACGGAGATGTTCTGCTCCACCAGGTTGGCCAGCATCCCTGCAGAGGCAGAGGCCCGTGAGCAAGTGGTGGATGCCCAGCAGCCACCTGCTCAATAGGCCACAGACTCAGGCCAAGAGCAGAGGGTCTTATGGGCCTCCCTGAGACCCACCGTCTGCTCAACCCCCAGCAGAGGCCTGGCAGAGGGGGGACCTGAGCAGCATGGCCCTCAGCAGGGTATGCCGGGGAAGACGCAATAGTGAGTACCCCACCTTCTTGAGCTAGCATGGAGATGAACGTGCAGATGAACTCGTCATAGTTGTGTGTCCTCCTCTGGTCGTCAATCTGTGGGAAAAAAGGATGAGGACACTGCGGCACCTCCCCAGAGCTGCCACCAGCTGACCTCTAGAAGTCGCACCTCCAGAAAGACAGTCATGGACAGAGGACCAGGCAGCTGGAGAAATTACCCACCTTGAACTTCTTCCTCTTCTCCACTTCTTCCTTGAGGCAGGCCTCATAGTTTGCAATCTCAGCCTCCACACACTTCAGCAGTGCCAGCAGCTCCTGCCAAAACCCAGCATTGCACCCATGGGAGCTGGCCAGCACCAAAGCCATACTACTAGGAAGCAGCGAGAGGCAAGGAGAAGCAGCCAGAGTGCCTGGAGCTGACCGAGGCTTCTTCCACTACCTCCCCACCAAAACTCCAATCAACCGAGCCTCAGGCAGCAGCCCCCAGGCCCTTCCCTCTGCCAGGGTTAGAGACTGCAGGGGCTCACCTTGGGTGAGTACTTCTCCCCACTCAAGGGCTCACCGGTCCTGGCCAGCCCAGACTTCTCTCTGCCATCTGCAGCTTCCACCACCTCCTTCTCCTCTGGGCCGCCGGACCCCTGGCTGCCCTGGTTTGGTCTGCTGGAGGGCGAGGAACCCTTCCCACCCTCTGGGAAAAGAAGGCATGAGAAGACTCATCAGAGTGCAGGACACTTGGTGGTCACTTGGCTCCCTCCCTCTTCCACCCTCGGTACACCAAGTGGCCAGTGAGTCAGCACGAGGCGCACCTGTCAGTGCCAGGGGACCCAGCACACCATCCTCAGCCAAGTGCAGCAGGCCCGTGCTGATGACAGGACCCAGGTCACGTACAGCACGATTGTAGCGTATACAGTCAACACGCAGCAGGCTGTCATCTTCTCCAAAAAGCACCTTGGAGATGTGGGAGGTGACAGGGCTGGAGGGCCGTGTGGGGTTGGCTGAGCGAATGGGCGAGCGCAGTGGTGAGTTGAAAGCGCTGCCGATCTCAGAGGCTGTGTCTGTGCTCTCGTTGCTGGGGGTGGGCGAGGGCTGTGAGTGCATGGGCACCGCCACAGCCGGACTCGCAGCGCCGCTGCTGGTCTTGATGGACAGGGGGATCGAGAGGTCTTTCTGGGACTCTTTGAGCTTCTCGGCCAAGACGTTGATAGTGTTGGGCTGCAGCACTGACAGCTGCCCTTCCCCGGAGCCACTCATTGGCCCTGGCTTTCCTGGCCCTTTTCGCTTGTATCTGTGGGGCCCAACGAGACATGAGCCAAGGGAGTGGGTCAGATGACCACACTCCCAGCAATGCCTAGAACTGCCTGCCCACACCCTGGCATCCAGGGACTGACCCTGAAGCTCCTCATTCGGTCCAGCAGCCTGACCCCGCCATGCCAAGCCTGGCACCCTAAGCTCTCACAGCTACAGCCAGGTGTCCTCAAAGGACGCCTTCTCTATTTCAGCTGCTGGCCTTTTGCCAATGCCATGTCTTCCAGAAAAGCTATCCCTACCCCATCTCCTCCTCCCATTTCATCCAATTCTTCTTCCAAAACCTAACCAAAAGGCCACCTCCCAACAGAACATATTTTGATGTCTGGTTAAATGTGCTCAGCCCTCCCCGCATCCCTCCAACAGCTTCTTGGGTCCTGAAATCAGCCCCTTCATGCCAGCCTTCCCAGGACCCTGTATTCAGCAGGTGCTCAGTGTTGTCCATCTGCTGAAGGGCATTCTCAGATAACACATTGAAATAACCAAGATAGGATCTGCAGCGCTCAGAGCATCCAGCCTAGAGCTGAGCTGACCTGATGGCAGGGTTGGTGTTCTGCACATCGTCCTCCTCCTCATCCTCATAGTCATCCTCATCGTCCGAGTACTGCTGGGGTGGGCGAACTGGAACTCGGCTACGGCCCACACCTGCTGCCAGGTCTTCCTCCTCCTGAGGCAAAACCCAGAGCAGCCATGAGCAGGAGTCAGCCAGCCCAGGCTAGGCATCGCATTCACAGCCAGAGAGAAAGCCAGAATGGCTCTCAGGTCAAGTCCAGAAACTCTCCAGGTGTTCCAGAGCCCATGGCTCTGAGAAAAGCTGCTGCCCACCCCACTACCTGCCTACACAGGCTTCTGAGAGTCTTGTGCCTTAATTTTTCAGCAGAATCCCTGAAGCATGTGCCTGGATTTTGCAGCAGAATCTAACCCACAGAACTGTACCAAGGAACATGACCCAAACATTTAGTGCCATAGCTATGTGGATGGACTCAAAGTCAGTGGAGTTCTCTCTGCCTAAGCCCCTGCCTTTGTGGGTGCTTCCAAGTATCAGACAGAGGAACCAGGCCCCGGTCGGGGCTGAACAAAGAACCACCTGAGGACACTCCCGTGGCAGCACTCCCAGCTCACCTGCATGGGGGACTTGGCATAGTTGTGATTGTCCAGAAAAGCTGGCAGCCGCTGGACGATGGGAGTGGGGTTGGGGGGAACACCATTGAGGCTGCTCCCTGAAGGTTTCACCACCAGCTTGGGTTTGCTGGGAGGGCTGTGGGTTGGGGCTTGTGGGCATGAACCAGCCACCACCTCCACACCATCTGAGAGAAGCATAGGCAGGACCTTCAGCCAAATCCTCAAAAAAAGCTGTCCCCAGCCCGCTGTCTCCCCAGTCCTGTGACAGCTGAGCAGCTGGTTAGATGGAAGTCAGTCATGGGCCCAGAGCAAGACAAGAGAAGAACAAGATGGAAAAAGAAAGGGAGGCAGGAAGAAGAAAAGGCTTGAAGAAAACCAGAAAGGGAATGTGCTTACAGAAAAGGCGCAGGGGCCATGGTAATGGCAGCCCTCTGCAGATGCCTTTCTTCAGGGAAAACTGCTCTCCCTCCACGTTTGGACGGGAGAGGGATGCAAGCACTGGGCTTCAGGCCTTCCATAGCAGCCTCTGAATCACTGCCCAAGTGCCTTCAGGTCTTCCGGTCAAGCTATGAGGGGTCACTCTGAGGCCCATGAGAGGCCCTAAGACCCCTAGTACCTGTGTGGGTGCCCTCCGAGGACACTGGGCCCCTGCTCGCCTCCAGAGCCACAGGGGACTTGCCACTGGCTGGTTTGGACTCCTCAGGCAGCTGGGATTCTTGAGACTTGTGTGTCTGAATCAGCTCTGGTTGTGTTACCCTGATCACCTAAAAAGAGAAGCCAAGGCTCAGAGGAGAGAAGGCAGCCACAGCCTCTACCTTGGACAGCTAAGGGCCTTAGCCCTCCCGACTCCCTCACAGAAAAACACAACAGTCAAACCCAAACCTCCTTCTAGAAACTACTTTCCCTCACCACCCCTTCCCCAAAAAGGGCTCAAAGAAGGAGTGGTTAGTTGAAGCCCAGATCCATGATGATTTGGGAATGACAGACAACTGCCCCAGTGAGGGGAAGGAGAAAATGGCTGACAGGGACCGGACAGGAGAGTACCCACCTGCTGCAGAGCCTCCAGTATTATCTGACGGTTCACCTTGAGGACATGCAGCCTGGCCTCATACTTGATCCTGCGGTCGGGCACCACCGCCATCAGGTTGAAGCGGATGTCATGGTAGGGCTCCCTGCAGGCACAGTGCAGCTGTGAGAGCAGCTCGCACCCCGGCCCCACCACCAGGTTGAGGCAGAGAGCCTGGCAGGGCTCCCTGAAGTCACACCTGCAGCCATAGGTACAGGCCCCACCCAACAGGCAGGTAGCAGGGGACCACGTATACCGGGCACATGAGCAGGTGCCTTCCAACAAGCTGTGCAATGGGCCTGGCAGGAAGTGAGCCAGCATGCTTGGGCCACCTAGGGCTCCACCAAGCCCTGCCCCTCCCCAAAGCAGGCACAGAGCAATGAGTTGGGAGCCCAAGATTCAAGTCTGATCCTGCCAGATTCACCATGGCACGAATCATCTGGCTTCTCTGCTTTGGTTCCCTTTTCTGTTCCCATCGCAATGGGGGCACAGCTCCAAAGGGTAGGGCAGGCACAGGACCCTTACCCTGCAGTGGCGAGGCCGATACGCTCCATGATGACCCGCCGGGCCTTGTCTGTCCACTCCTCATCCTCACCCCAGGGCCCTAAGGAACACCAAGACAAGGAGTCAGCAGGTGGGAAGCCCTGAGTTTGGGCAAGCCATGAATGGGAGGGAGGATGGAGAGTAGTTGAGTCAGGGAGTCAGGGGCTAATAAGGCAATGCGCTGAGGGTGCCATATGGTCAAAGCCAGATGTCCTGAATACCCAGCCCCCACCACTGAGTTCCAAGCACCTTAGGACCCTAGACCCCAGCTCCTTAAGAGTTAAGCAGAAAAACCCATAGAGCCCCCAGCTCAGAGTGCTTACCATGGTCAATGGGATAGACCTTGAGCCCATCCAGTTCAAAAAGCCGGCCTGTGATAGGCACATAGCTGACAAAGTGGAATGCCTCCATGGTCCGCACTGCACTAAGGCCATTCTGCTTCTCAGGGAGGTGGCGTGGCTCGGGCCTGGGGAAGGACCCAGTCAGGGCCCCGAATGAGACAGCCCTTCCTTCCCCCCACCCCCAACAGCTCCCACAGCTCCCACACACCTGGCATGGCTATTATGTGCCTTGGCCAACTCCGGGGCATTGCCAATCGCATATCCTTTGCTCTAGAGGGAAGAAAATGAGACCACATCAGAACAACTTCTCAGCTGAGCCTCTGGGTAGGAACTAGAGCTTAGACGAGCAGGCCTGGAGGTGTTCCAGGAACCTGAAGCACAGGTGGACTCTCCTAAAGGGGAGAAGAGATCCCGCAAGAGATGGGCTCATATGGCCTTGCACAGTAATAAGCGGACACTGGGAGCAACATGGACTCCAAAATGCCGACAAAGTCCTAAAATGGTGTCACTTGAGCAATCTTCCTTCCTTCCCTAGGTTTGTCTCCTTTCCTGACAATTGAGCCTAAAGCCAACTGCCTTCCACAATTAACTTAAGAGCCAAATGTGTAAATGAGCATGTGAAAAGCAAAAAGCCTCACAGTGCCAACCGTCATGCAGTGGCATCACCAGTGGCCCTGGAGGTCAGATGTGTCCCCCCAGCTGCGAGCCAGGGTAAGGCACGGTGGCATACCTCAGGGCTGAAGCCTTTGGTGAAGTCCTTCATACGGCTCAGGGTGGGCCCCAGGTCCACATTGCTGCAGTTCAGGAGCACGCTCAGCAGGGCATGCGTGGCACAAGAGTTGGGGATCAGCTGTGAAACCAAGAACAGTCACCCATGCATAGCATCCCTCAATCGAAGCCCACATTCATCAGGAAAGGGAACCCAGAGAGGGACAGTCATATCTGGACAACAATCCTCATCTTTGCCCCAAGTTTGTTCACTTAACTAAATACCCATCAGATGTCTGGGGACCTGGAAAGGAGATTCAGACCCCACACTGCTCTAAAGAGTCTCCTTTTTTTTTAAAAAAAAATATATATATATATATATATATTTTATTGATTTTTTACAGAGAGGAAGAGAGAGGGATAGTTAGAAACATCGATGAGAGAGAATCATTGATCAGCTGTCTCTTGCACACCCCCCACCGGGGATGTGCCCAAACCAAAGTACATGCCCTTGACCGGAATTGAACCTGGGACCCTTCAGTCCACAGGCCGACGCTCTATCCACTGAGCCAAACCGGTTTTGGCAAGAGTCTCCCTTTTTTAATGAATAAGAGCTCAGTTCCTTTTGCCAAGGGACTTCTATAACCACCACCCTCAGTAACTGCCTATCTCTTCCTCCTGCCTGTACCCACTCCCACTTCCCAAGCAAAGAAAATAGCAGCTTCCCACCCTCCAGACAGAACACAGAGCCCAGCACACCTGGTGGGCAAAAAACATATTATTCACAATATCGTCATCAATCACAGATGTGTCATCCACCAAGGTAGAGACCTTGCGACGGGATCGGCGCTCTTCGATCCATTTGAACAGGAAAATGAATCCATACACGGGGCTGGGGAAAGGAAGGAGCAGAGCTAAACCAGTCAAGTTGGAGAAGGAAACCAGCCCCCCCTTTTTCTCTCCCCCTATTCCCCTGCATTGTGTTACCACTCAGGTGCCCCTTCTGTAACCCCATCTCTCTCCTGGTTTCTTCCCAACACTGCCCAAAGTGACCCTGAGCCCTCACACCCCAGAAGACCACCCCAGGCAGGCTAAGCATCGGCTTCTGGCTGTGGTTCTCCAGGAGTCCACCAGTGTCCTCCTGAAGTTTATGGTTCTGGGATAAGAGAAGAAACGCTGGAACCAATGGCCCAGGACAGGGTAGGAACAGACGTTAATGTGAGAACAAAAACTCTGATGAGGAACTGAAACACTAATTCTCACTTGTGAACCCCAAGGCCTGAGCCCCAAGGCAGACAAGGAAGAAAACGAACACCCATACGAGCCCCTCCTGTGAGAAATAAAAGCAGACTTCTCAATTCAGTCATCACAGCAGTTCCTCCACACCTCCATTTTGCAGGACCACCAAAACAAGGCCCTGAGGTTGGTCACCCAGGAGGGCCTTGTAGGTGCCAACCAATCTACACCAGACCCTTGTGTGGAGATGAGAGGCGCTGGCACACCGGCACTTTAAGCAGTAATTAATCATTACAGCTGCTCAAAAGGCAGGTGCGATCTGGGTCTAGAGAAGGGCCTGGCTTCCTGCTCCAGACCAGAAAAAGAAGCTGAACTATATTCCAAAGGATAGTTAGAATTGTTATCGATTGGGGGAGGTGCTACTACAGAAAGGGAAGTGATGAGGGGAGAAAACAAAAATACCAGCTTGATCAGGAGAACACCCAAAGAGAAGGGACGCTTCCTTATGTTAGATTTTCACAACCTGGGGCTCCTGGGACACCTTTAGGCCTCGAGGTGTGAAAGGCGGTCCTGCAGCCAAGCCACTCACCCCTGGCACTTGCTCTGAAGGTCATAGATCTCCTCCACTTGCACCCCTTTGACACCTGCGATCAGGGAAGAAAATAAGTCGGGAAGGGCAGCTCCGGGCCATGCAGCGAGGGCGGGAAAGTGAGTCCCCACGGCCGGGGTCCGGCGGGTAGGAGAGGCTCTTACCGAAATCTTCCACCAGGAGGGTGAAGAGGCCTGGTGGGGCGACAAGAAGAGCGGATGATGGTCAAGTAGGAGCCTGGGGTGGGGAGAAGGACCCCCAAAACCCTCACCCCCAGCCAGCCTGCCCCCCTCCTCACCAGGATCGCTCTCCAGCTCCAGCCAGCCCTTATTCATCTTCCCGCGGGGCGGTCCCTCAGCGCCATGTCCAGGCCCTCCCGACCCACCGCCGCCCCGCCGGGAGCCCCCGACGCCCCCGGGGCCCCTAGCCCCGCACACAGACAACGGGTCCCGTCGCGTCACTTGCTCGCGCCAGCGGGATACGTCACCACAGAGCGACCGTCTCCCCCCAGGCTTCTGGGCGTGTCTTCCTCTAGTTAGCCTGACGCTAAAGCTCTAGCGCGGGGCGGGGCGATGAGAGGGGTGTGGCCAAAGGGGGCGTGGCCAGAGGAGGGGGGGGCGAATGGCGTTGGCGCCAGTGGCGCGGGAGCGCGCGCCGTGAGGAGGCGTGACTAGAGGGTGGGCGGGGTGCTCCGTGAGGAGGCGGGGCTAGAGGGAGGGCGGGGCCCGCGGCGTTAGACCCTGCGGCGCGAGGGGAAGGGGCGAGGCGGGGAGATGGGGGGCGGGAGCGCGGCCTTTAGCGGTTCCCCTCCGCCAACGGTCACCGTAGCGGTAGCCCCCGGGCCGGGGCCGCAGTCCCCCTGGGTCGCCGTCCGCGCGACCCGGCCCCCGTTTGCGCGCTCGCCCCTGCGCCGGCGCAGTCACCGCGCGGGGCGGCCGCCCGTGAGGAAGCTACAACGAATAAAGCTCCGAGACACAGGCGCCCTCGTCGACACCTGAGCGGGCGGCCCTGGCCGGGAGCGGCGGCCCGAGTGCGCAGTGAGGAGCGAGCGGCAGAGGCGACTCCGGCCCGGTCCGCACCAGCCTCCCCGCGGGCGCGGCATGACCCTGGCCTGGCACTCCCGGGATGCTTCTTGAGCCCCTTCGCCGGTGGTTACCTCTGGGGGACGGTTGTGGCCACACCGACACCTATTTTGCAAAGTAATCATTGTTTTATTCTTGTGGCGGCGGGGCCGAACACGCTTATTTATTTTTAATTATCTCAACAAGCTTTTTACCCAGCATCTGACCAGCGAAACAGCGTGGTAACCGTTTCAAAGGAGCCTCGCCCGGTTAGGAAACCTCCGCCCGAGCCGCTCGTGGAAGCCCGCCTTTGCATCGTCCCTCCTTACATGCTTCTTCCTGAAACTACCAGTGTGCACGGAAATCCCTGCAAGAAACGTCTTAGTCCAGCGATGCACAGAGCCGAAGTTTCAAGGTTTTATGTCTATTGCTAGACCATCAGGATCTCCCCAAAACTCGGAACCGCTCAGTAGTCAGCTCACGTGGACCCCCTAGTGCTAGCCCTTCTCTTCGCGCCTGTCCAAGCTCTTTGTTGAGTAAGAGGCCATCCAATGTCATTGCTCCTTTTAAAGAATATTTTTTAATTGCTTTTTTGGGAGAGGAAGGGAGAGGGATAGAGAGTTAGAAACATCAATGAGAGAGAAACATCGATCAGCCCCTCCTGCACACTCCCCACGGGGGATGAGCCGCAATCAAGGTACATGCCCTTGACCGGAATCCAACTGAGACCCTTCAGTCCTCAGGCCGGCGCTCTATCCACTGAGCCAAACCGGCTAGCGCAATGTCATTGCTTCTTGCAGGTGCAGCTTGTGCGTTAAAAGAGGAGACAGAGAAAGGAAGGGCGGCATTGCCTCTGGCTGTATTCACCCAGAGCAGTTGGAAGCCCTAGAAGATGCTCAGGGCTCCCCAGGCATGAGACATGGCCCTGGGGTGTTTGTCCCTGGAGTGACCTGATTCACTCAGTTCTCCTCTCCCCTGACTAAACAGTCCTTCCTTCATAGGAATGGGTTTTGCTACTTTTGTCCCCCTGGCCAATGAAAACTCTGTTTGCAGTCTGCTGACACTGGGGGAGGAGGGAGGACTGGCAGGGTGTCAGTCTCCACAGAAAGGCCTAACCTCAACAGCCACCTGAGCCTGGGGCAAAGCGGCCGTTTGTCAACGTTACCTCTCGTCTCCCACTAGAGGGAGCCCTTGCTTCAAGCAGCTGACATACCACCAGCTCCTCCCTGGAAAGGACTAGCTTGGCTGGCTTTTTACTGGGCAGAATTAAGGCACCCATACTTGGGGGCAAAAGAAGTTTTTCCTGAATGCCACCTTGTGATCTTAACGGGCACAAAGAAAGCAACCTGCTAGCCAGTTCAGGCTGAGTGATAGCAGCACCTCTGACTTGAGGCAGGTGCCTCTCTGTGACCTCCCTGTGCCTCAGTCTCATCTTTAAAAAATGGGGAAATAATGGCATCTAGAGCACGGGTGGGGGAATAGTTCTTGGCACGACTTAATAGTTATTGGCCATTACTACCTAGCACTGATACTGGGTGGGTCCCTTATATTCTATTGCTTTGACCCTGTGGAACTTGATAACCAACTGTAGGATTAAGTTGTTGACCAAACCCTGTTTATTTTCATAGCTGGAAGAGCCTCTATTATCCTCATAATAAATAGAATTCAAGATAGGAGACAGAGGCTGCAGCGAATGAAGCCTATAAAGGGGAAGGCATGTCGGAGATTCAGGTAAAGTAGGTGGCATAAGGGAGTTCGGGACACATTATTCAATGTGGTATACACTGTACTTCCCCCCCTTTGCATGGCATTGGGAGTGAGGGTTGGGTAGTGTGGAAGCTTCCCGGTAACCTATCCTTCCAGGAAAGTGCTGGCTCTTGGACCCTACTCCTAGGTTCATACTGGCTCTAACACCTGCTAATGAGGTGACCTGGGACAGGTTATTTATGCCTTCATTTCCTCATCTGGAAAATATGCATAATAATAGGATGCACTTTTTAAAAGATTTATTGATTTTTTTAGAGAGAGAGCAAGGGAGAGAGAGAAATGTCCATGTGAGAGTAAAACATTAATTGGCTACTACTCCCCCTATTGGGGATTGAGCCTCCAACCTGAGCATGTACCCTGATCAGGAATCGAACCCACAGTCTTTTGGTACACCAGACAACACCCACCCAACTGAATCACACTCGTCAAAGCAATAGCACTTTTAAGAACATTCTATAGATTCATTGAGCTAACACATGACTAGTGTCTAGCCAAAAATAATGTCTACAATAGGAAATTATTAATCCGATTTAAGTATCATTTTATTATGCTTTGTGAATGTGATACCACCCGAGATTCAGAGTAGATGGCAGAAGAAACAGTAAAAGGGCATTTGCTCCTGAATTCATTCAATCACCATAGTCAATACAGGCACCAGAAACACTATCTCACACAACTCAAGCAATTCAGTAGGTATATTTTATGCTTTCAAAAAATATGAAATAGAAACCCTGGCTAGATGGCTCAGTTGGAGCACCATTCTGTGTACCAAAAGGTTTTGGCTTCAATTCTCTGTCAGGGCACATACCTGAGATGTTGGTTCCATCCCTGTCAGGGTGTGTCCAGGAAGCAGCTGATCAATGTATCTCTCATATTGATGTTTCTTTTTCTCTCCCTCTCTCCTCCCTCTTCTTCCCCCCCCCCCCCATTTCTCTCTCCAAAATCAGTAAAAACATATCCTCAGGTGAAAATTAAAAAAAAATAATAATTATATATATATATATATATATATATATATATATATATATATATATATATGAAATAGAAAAAGAAACTGATGTCTTAGTCTTTAGGTATTCTGGTACTTCATCAGACCCATGGATGGCATTTTGAGGGAAATGTTACAAGAGATGTTGATAGAATGAACCCTCAAAGACTACCTTGTACTTCTTCCTTCTCTTGTATAGAAAATCTGCCAAGACGAGGAGGGTGACCCAGAGGAAGCCATCTTTAGCGCCTGGTAAGAAAGACTAGATTTTGTTCAGCTGATTCCTCTCAACCTCAGCAAAGACTACCTGTGTAGGGCAGCAAACTTGGTTCTCTCACTGTCGATCCTACTTCCTTCCCAGATTATCTAAGATGCTGAGGACTAAGGGTGCATAATTTTTAAATGTCACATCCAAAGTTCAAGAAACAAGTTCATAAGGCCACTTAAGAAACTATGAAGTGAGCAGTTGTAGTCAACTCCTTCAAATGTGGCCAAAATAATATAAAGACCAAGTGATGCCAAGTAACACTTCACCCTAACCTCCCTCCTTATTCAAATGGCCCCCTTCCCAATACTGCCCTCCTCTGATTATGTAGAGAGATGGTTATGCTCCCAATGTGAGTTCTTAACATTCTGTCTTCCAGTATGCCGGCTATGCCTTCAAGAACCTGGGGATCCTGAAAAATTAGGGGAATTTCTTCAGAAAGACAATCTCAGCGTGCACTATTTCTGTCTTGTGAGTATAAGGCCCCTTTTGCTTTGAATATCTCATCACTTTTGCTATATAGTCTGTCCTCTTTTTTTATCCAGCCTCAGATCCACAACCTTGTTTGTTTTTCTTAGTAGTTTTTTTCTTTTAAAATCTATATTTCAAATAGTAATATACGTACCTGGTATAAAATCTTAACAATATAAAAATATATACAACAAAAAGTCTCTTCCCAAAACAGTATTTCCCATCTTTCTCCCTTTCCCCATCCTATCCTATATAATAAAAGAAAAGCATGTAAATTGACAGTACCTCTGCCACACTCACCAGCCAATCAGGAGTGAGTATGCAGATTAGCCCAACAAAGATGGTGGGTTAATTTGCATACACAGGCGCTGGGTGGAGAGCAGAGAGGGAGAGCTGGTGGCTTGGAGGACTTGGCAGAGCAGGAGGACATGGGACAGAGACAGAGCAGGAAGGGAAAACCAAGAGCGCAGGGAGCACCAGGAATGCTGGGAATCATAGTTTTGGTGGTAGATGGATAGCCTAGACACTAGAGCAAAGTGAGCCTGGAGCAAGTTTCTGTTGCAGTGGGGGATCGAGGAAAAGCAAAGGTGAGAGACATCAGTAAAATCAGAGTGTCTAGGAAAAATTAAGGGAAGATATCCTAAAACTTCCATGAAATCTCTATCAATGAAGCAAAGGGGAAAAAAGCCTCTATTATTCTGTGAGCAACAAACCAAACTGGGTTGGGGTCTCAGACAATTCACTCAAATGATTACAAAGACAGAAGAAACTCCAGGATTGAGAGGGCTCCCCTGAGGATTCCCAGATTGGAGAGGGTACAGATCTGGCTGAGGGACCCCTCCCACCCCCAAGCACGAATCTTTGTGCACTGGACCTATATATATACAACCCTAATATGCAAATAGATCAAATGGTGGAACAACTGAACAGTGACCACCAGGGGTTGCACACAGAACATGGCAGGCGTCAGCGGCAGGGTGGTGGAGCAGGTGAACGAGGGGAGGGGGTGGGGGGGCAGATCAAGGCGGGGTGCCAGTTGCTGTCATCGGGGTAAGCCTCTAGGGTTACTGAAAATTCTTTGCTCCCGTGCCAAGGTCCCGCCTGGCACTTGCACCAGGTGCCAGCGCCAGCCCTGCTTGCATCCACTGCTGGTGCAGGAGCCACCACTTGTACCTGCTGCCGTCTCTGATTGCTCAGTGCCTCAGTGGATGCAAGCAGCAGATGCCAGCCCTGAGCGCCCCTCTGGGCTTCTCCCCCGACCCTGCTCCTAAGGAGCGATCAGAGCAGCAGTTGCTGCTGGTCCTGGCCCCAATTGCTCAGCGGGTGCAAATGGGGCTGGCACTGTCAGAGCATGGGAGTGGCGGCGGCAGGAGTGGGGCTATGGGCAGATGGACTGCGGGCCCGCTATGGGAGGGTCTGGGTCGGAGTGCGGACGATGGCCCAAGACCCGCCCCACAGCAGCCTCATGACCCATAGTTCCTTTCAAGGTGCATGAATTTGTGCATTGGGTCCCTAGTGTTATAAATAATGTATGTCCCCATGTAAACACTGTCTGAATCAAAATAAATATTTCCATCATCCTACAAAGTTCCCTCCTCCCACTTCCAGTCAGTTCCCTCAGAGATAATCACTGATCCATAGATTACTTTTGATATTATGCTTCATATAAATTGAATCATACAATTTGTACTCTTTTGTGTCTGGCTTCTTTCACTCAATGAAGTGTTTTAGAGATTGATCCATGTTGTTGCATGCATTGGTAGCCTTTCTATTCCCCAATAGTAGTCTGTTGTATGAATATTTAATTTGTTTATCCACCTGTTGATGGACATTTGAATTGTTTCCTTTTGGGGGCAATTATCCATAAAGCAACTGTGAAAATTCATGCACAAGTCTTTTTGTGAACATGTGTTTTCACTTCTCTTGGGAAAATGCCTAGGAGTAGAATTACTGGTTGTATGTTAACTATGTGTTTAACTTTATGTGAAGTTGCCAAGTCACTTTCCAAAGTGGTTGTACCAATTTACACTCCCATTAGCAGTTTATGAAGTTCCAGTTGCACAATATTCTTACTAAAACTTGATATTGTCAGTCTTTTAAATTTTACCCATTTTTAAGAGGTGTGTGCCCTGTGGTTTTAATTTGCATTTATCTGATGACTTGAGATATTGAGCTTCTTTTCATGTGCTTATTGGCCATTTACATATTTTCTTTTATGAAGTGTCTGAACAAATATTTTGTCCATTTTAAAAATTGGATTCTTTTGTCTGATTGAGTTGTAAGAGTTCTTTTCCACGCCCCCCCCCATATGTTTTTTATTGCCCTGACCGGTTCGGCTCAGTGGATAGAGTGTCAGCCTGCAGACTGAAGGGTCCCAGGTTCAATTCCACTCAAGGGCATGTACCTTGGTTGTGGGCACATCCCCAGTAGGAGGTATGCAAGAGGCAGCTCATTGATGTTTCTCTCTCATCAATGTTTCTAACTCTCTATCCCTCTCCCTTCCTTTCTGTAAAAAATCAATAAAATATGAAGGAAGGAAGGAAGGAAGGAAGGAAGGAAGGAAGGAAGGAAGGAAGGAAGGAAGGAAGGAAGGAAGGAAAGAAGGGAGGAAAAGGATGTGTGTGTGTCTACATTTACATATGTAATACAAAACTATTAAAAAATATATATGTTTTTTATTGATTTGAGAGAGAGAGGAAGGGAGAAGGGGAGACCATATGACCTGACTGGGAATCAAACTGGAGACCTCTTGTGCATGGGTAGATGCTCAACCATTGAGCCACACGAGCAGGGCTTTAAGTTCTTTATATATTCTGGCTACCCGTCTCTTTGCAGATAAGTAGCATTGTGACTATTTCTTTCCTGTTGTGGTTTGCCTTTTCATTTTCTTTAGACCCCAGAGGTCTCAGTGGGCAACTCCACAGCTGAGATATCCCTCTGGAACTTCAGCTGCTGTCTGGGGAGCCCAGCCAGCCCTTTTGCACCTCCACACTGCCTACCAGTCTATGTAGTCTCCACTTTTCATCCTTGGTTCAGGGTTCTCTTCAGTTAGTCTTCAGATTATTCATTTTTATGTATTTTAGTTGTAATTCCAGTATGGTCCTGGGAGCATGTCAGTGTAGCTTTTACTTACTCTGCCGCCATTTTGGAATTTCTGAGACAAGTAAATTTTTATGGGAAAGAGAAGAGTGACTGAACAAGTCTATCCTAATTGCAGTTTTAATCTCTTCCAGAAATGTAACCTTAACTCATCTAGAATTTTCTATTTTCATTTTATTTATGATGCTGTTTGAAGAACATAAGTTTTTAATTTTGATGAAATCAGTTTATCAATTTTGTTTTTATCATTAATGTTTTTTTGTGTGTCCCAAGAAATCTTTGCCTACCCATTGAATTATCTTGGTGTTTTTTCAAAATCAATTGACCATATATCTGTACACCTCAGAGATCTATTTATGTTATTGATTTGTATGTTGATCCTTATACCAGTGCCACCAGTGCAACACTGTCTTGATTATTGTGACTTTAGAATATCTTGAAATTAAGTATTGTAAGTTTGCAGTATTTTCCAAGATTGTTTTTGTTATCAGTTCCTTTACCATATAAATTTTATAGTTAGCTTTAAATTTTTCTCTATAAAAAAAAGCCTTTTGGAATTGTGATGGGGAATTGCATTGTAGAATGGACAGACAATATTGAATCTTCCAATCCATGAACATGATACAATATACCATTTATTTGGATCTTTTAAAATATAATCTTAGCAATTTTCTAATATGTTTTTATTGATTTCAGAGAGGAAAGGAGAGGAAGAGAGAGAAACATCAATAATGAGAGAGAATCATTGATCAGCTGCATGATCCTGCATGCCCCCAAATGGGGATCAAGCCCACAACCCAGCCATGTGTCCTTGACCAGAATCAAACCCAGGACCCTTCTAGGCTGACTCTCTATCCACTGAGCCAAACAAGCCAGGGATAGAGATAGAGATGGAGATGGAGGTGGAGGTGGAGATGGAGGTGGAGGTGGAGGAGGTGGAGGAGGTGGAGGAGGTGGAGGAGGTGGAGGAGGAGGAGGAGGAGGTGGAGGAGGTGGAGGAGGTGGAGGTGGAGGAGGTGGAGGAGGTGGAGGAGGTGGAGGAGGTGGTGGAGGTGGTGGAGGTGGTGGAGGAGGTGGTGGAGGAGGTGGAGAGGTGGAGAGGTGGAGGTGGAGAGGTGGAGGTGGAGAGGTAGAAGTATAGAGGTAGAGGGGTAGAGGTAGATCAATGATGAGAGAGAATTACTGATCAGCTGCCTCCTGCACATCCCACACCAGGGATCAAGCCCACAAACTGAACATGTGCCCTGACTAGGAATCGAACCATGACCTTCTGGTTCATAGATTGAAGCTCAACCACTGAGCCACGCCAGCCAGGTAGCAATTATTTTTAATGAAGAAGACTTGCACATTTTTGTTAAATGTATTTCTAAATATTTTGTGGTTTTATGCTATTTTAAATTTTCATTTTCAGGTTTGTTGCTGGTATATAGAGATGCAACTTATTTTTGTACATTGATTTTATATCCTGCAATCTTATTAATTTCACATATTAGTTCAGAAGCTATTTTCAGTGCATTTTTGTTGTTGTTTTTATAAATGCCTTAGGATTTCCTATGTATATAATTATGTTGTATGTGAATAAAAACAGTTCTATTTCTTCCTTTTCAATCTTTATGTCTTTTATTTATTCTTCTTGACTTTTTGTACTAGCTGGGACCTTCAATCTAGTGTTGAATAGAAGTTATGTGAGTAAATATCCTTGTCTTGTTTCAACATCAGAGGACAGTATCTAATTTTTCACCTTTAAAATTTGATGTTAGGTATAGGTTTTTCTTGGGTTCTTTTCATTAGATTGAATAGGTTCCCTTTTATATCTAGTTTGCTGGAGGGTATCATGAATGTGTTTTGAATTTTGTCAAATACTTTTTTATGCATCTATTGAGATGCTCATGATTTTTCCCCTTAATTTGTTGATGTGATTTGTTTTATCCATTGAATTATTTTATATTAAACTAACTTTGCATTTCCGATATAAACCCTGCTTGGTCATGATGTTTTATCCTTTTTATATGGCGCTGGATTCAATTTGTTAATAATTTTGTTTCATTTTTACATCTACACTCATGAGAAAGATTGATCTGTGATTTTCCTTTCTGGTTTTGATGTCAGGTCTTGATTAATTTCAGTGCATTTACAAACAAATACACATTCAACATAAAAACACACCCACTATACACAGTGTTTTGCATTTGTGTTTTGTTTTTTTATGGTCATTCTATATTTAACATATTGATCTAGTTTTTTCTTTTTCTTTTTTAAAATATATTTTATTGAAAAAAAAAAAATATATATATATTATTGAATTTTTACAGAGAGGAAGGGGGAGGAATAAAGAATTAGAAACACTGATGTGAGAGAAACATCAACCAGCTGCCTCTTGCACACCCCCTACTGGGGATGTGCCCGCAACCAAGGTACATGCCCTTGACCGGAATTGAACCTGGGACCCTTCAGTCCGCAAGCCGACACCCTATATTCAATGAGCCAAATCCATCAGTGCTAGTTTTTTCTTTTTAATAGCTAATTGGTATTCCATGGTATGGTTATGCAAAAAAGTATTAAAACAAATCTCTATTAAAGGACATTTAGATTGTTTCTAATCTTTTTAAAAATATTTTTTTATTGATTTCAGAGAGGAAGGGAGAGAAACATTAATGATGAGAGAGAATCATTGATTGGCTGCCTCCTGCACACCCCCTACTGGGGATCAAATCTGCAACCCAGGCATGTGTCCTTAACTGGAATTGAACTCGTGACCCTTCACTCCATAGGCTGACATTCTATCCATTGAGCCAGACCGGCTAGGGCTGTATCTAATCTTTCACTGTTAATTTTCCTGTTTATGGAAATAATGCATGCTCATTGTAGAAAACAGCAGTACTTAAAAGTATATATAAAACTGATATCACTCATATAGTCCAAAAGCTCTGAGATAATTAGGGTTAAATAGATATGTTTAAGCCTAATTAAGAATATACGGCTATAATCCAAGTGTCAAGTTATCTAACCTTATAGGGTCACCTTTTTTATCATGTAAAAATAACCTGAATTTCATAAGATGTAATTACCAGCACTCTCTCCAGTATTTTTGGAAGATTCTTGGAGTGGGGCTGGGGTGTTGACATTCTTCCAGTATATGTACATATGCATTGTTTATGAGTACATAACAATTTAGCTTCTTTTTCCTTGATTTCCCATTCTAAACTTTGCTTTGGGGGCCTTTCAGAAACAAAAGGACCCTTTAAAATGTGTTTTACAAGAAAAATTTCAATTCCTCCCCTTTCCCAATAAGGCAGAATGACTACAATTAAATCATTTTAAAGCCCAGTTTCCCTTCTTATACAAAGCATTCTTCTATAGTATTTATTCTACACCGAGGGGTCAATACAGCAGAAGGGGAAAGAGTATGGGTTCTGGAGGCCTGGATGTGAATGCCAGCGCTGCTGCCTCCTTGCTGTGTGACCCCAGCCATGCTTGCTTACCGTGCTGCACTTCTGTGGCCGCCTCTGTAAGATGCAGATCAAATAGCATCTGTATCACGGGGTTCTGGTGAGCATAAAATGGCCAACACACAGGGCATTTCCCCAAAGTGCCAGCACACAAAAGTCCTTAATAACCGTGAGGCAGCACAGCACAAAGATGGGTAAGAGCTCAGGCTCTGCAGTTCTGTGTCTTGAGCATGTCTTGAGGATTAAATGAGTTCATATTTGAAAAGCACTTAGAGCATCCAACTTATAGTTAATAATACATAAGCCTTTATTAAGTAAATTACTCGGTAAATGCATATATATTCCACCAAGCCATATTTCTACTCTGTCCTCCTCTACCCCGCTGCACTTTTTCACTGATCACCAATGTTGACAGCCTGGTTCTGCTGGCCCCCCACTCCCCAGATTCTATCTAGCAAGCTGCTTCAGCGGGGCCAGTCTAACAGAGGTATCCATGGATTCCTGCCTGAAGACATCAAAAAGGAGGCAGCCCGGGCTTCTAGGAAGGTTAGAATCCCCTGGAATGAGGGCCTTGGGCGAGGCCTCTTTTCATACCTCCCTGGTCCTCCCTGCCTTGGTTCTTTTCCCCTAGTTTCTAATATAGAGGTCAGAGGACTCCTGGATTTCCCAGCTGGTCCTTCTCTTAAGTTCCATGCTTCTCTGGGGCATAGTACTAAGTGAGGAGAGGGAGCAACAGCCTGGGAAAACAAAATAATTCAGTGCTGCTTGAAGCTCCAGAGCTTACAGGTCCACCGAGGAAAGGGAATGCTCGTTGCTTCACAGAATTTCCATTCCAAAGAATAATGTGCCACAGAATGTCTGTCTGTCTTTCTTGGGACCCTGAACACAGCCTGGGATCTCATTTGCAGATCTGCTTTGTGTGCAAGAAAAAGGGAGCTGCCATCAACTGCCAGAAGGATCATTGCGTCAGAAACTTCCATCTTCCTTGTGGCCAAGAAAGGGGTTGCCTTTCACAATTTTTTGGAGAGTACAAGTGAGTGATGAAGGGGAAAAGTCGGGTTGCCCTTTTGCAACTTGCTTTTAATTAGCCACTAATCAAATCAGAGTCTAGTTCTCACGGGCCTGTTTTGATTCACCAGGGAATCTGTCCCTCTATTCATTAATGAGAAACAGTGTCTTGACTTGGCAATTTCACAGGGGTTACTTCTTCCTTCCGTCCTCTTCTTAAATTACAAACAGCTGAGGTTCTTAGACAGCTGCTCAGAAGGAAGTGGGGCTTTCAGGAATGAGAGCGGCTGTAGAGATAGATGGTCTGGGAGTTTTGCTCAGTGGGAGAGCAGCTGTGAGAATGCTGTTCTTCACCCTCCTCTCCTCCTCCCTTCCTCCCCTCCCCTCTCTTCTGAGCACGGAGGAGGTGCTCTGGACACCAGCCTGGGGAGCTGATTGCCCTCCCTCAGCCAGGCAGCTGGAAAACTCCATCAAGATAAATGAAAACCAAGTTTATTTACTCTGCCACAGATCATTCTGTGAAAAACATCGCCCAACACAGGACATCCAACGGGGGAATGTGGGAGAGGAAAGCTGCGTCTTATGTTGTGAAGACTTGTCCCAAGCAAGTGTTGAAAACATCCAGAGTCCATGCTGTAGTCAAACTCTCTACCACCGAAAGTGCATACAGGTGGGGCTCTCTCTGCCCAGGGGACTTCCACAATTGTCCTAGTTCAGAGCCCCCTGGGAATGCTCAGGCAATCTCAACAGGAGGCCTGCATGCAGGGCTGGTTCCAGGAAGTCAGAGGAAAGTCAGCCCAGTCTTTGGTCACCCTTGACCTGTAGGACCTCCCTCATGATGATAAGATTTAGACTGAGTAAAAAATCCTCAGGATGGCTAGAGCAAATGAGCTCATCGTAGAATGAGTCAAGTGGCCTCCAAACCAGTCTTGCTTCCTCGCATGGAAGGAAAGAGAAACGTATTCAGGTCCCCGAGCCCTTCTGGGTTAGCACTGCTAAGCCTTATAGCCAGAGATGACAGCTGAGGCACTCCTGGGAACTTTCTTAAGCTTTTGGTCCCTGGTCTGGCACAGGAATATGCAGCCCTCGCCCTAACACACCCAAAGTCCTTTTCCTGTAAGCCCCAGGCAAGCTTTCTTAGCAACGTCCTCTTTGTGAGATGAGGGTGGAGGTGGAAATGAGGTGATCAAAGATAGAGTCTTTACAAACACAAAGTTTTTCCATGTTTCTCTTACAGAAATATGCCCACACATCGGCAAAGCATTTCTTCAAATGTCCACAATGCAACAATAGAGAAGAGTTTCCTCAAGAAATGCTAAGAATGGGAATTCACATTCCAGACAGGTAGTGGAAACTCTAAAGCAGGAATTGAGCCAGGGAATGGGTTGCCTAGATTTCTAGAGAGGAGGTGAGCGTGAGGATAGTTTAGAGAATGAAGAAGCAGCCAAGGCATTGTTATATGGTGAAGAGGAAATGGGTAGAGGGAGAGCTTTTCAAATATCTAAAGAAAAGAGGATTGAGCGTTGGGGATAGGTATGTTTCTGACAAGGGTGCTTTGGGGATCAGAACTCCCTGGGTGAGGGGTAGGTTCTCCAGTTCTCGTGTGAAACTAAGGAACCCCATGTTCCATTCATTTGGCTTCAACCCTCTCCCACTGTCAGGCCACCTTCCCAACCTTGCTGAAATCATTCAGGCAGCCTGTTGAACTCCTTTGCTGTGCTAGTTTGACTTCTTGCTAGTTCTTCCCAGGAGGAGAGTGGTTTCACCAACCAATGATGTGTCCCTTACTGTTCTTCTCCCACTGCAGAGATGCCGCCTGGGAACTCGAACCAGGGGCTTTCTCAGAGTTGTATCAGCGCTATCAGCATTGTGATGCCCCCATCTGTCTGTATGAACAAGGCAGAGACAACTTTGAGGACGAAGGGTAGGGAAAGGCTTCTGGCTAGAAAGTTTTCTCCTCAGTGCCAACTTAGAGTTAGACCTTGGCACAGTTATTAAGAGCAAAGAATTCGCTTTTGTCTACAGTCCTCAGGGCAAACACATCACATCCCGGGACTCATTCATGTGCAGGTGAACAGGTCCCTCTGCAGGTCTGCTTCTCCCTGAGCCCAGTGGAGAGATACTCAGGGCCAATTCTTTCCAAACCCGCCTTTTGAGTGTCTGTGCCTAACTGCAAGGTCCTGAGATCAGCACACAGCCACACATTCATCCTGGGTAAAATGTATGACAAAAGATGCCTGGGGAGCCCTCAGCAAAGGCTGCCCTGTAGTGACATCCCGAAGCGGTAGATAGTGTTATATTTGTGCCCACAACCCTTCCTTGTCTTCCTGTAGGAGGTGGAGCCTCGTTCTATGTGCCACATGCGGATCCCGTGGAACCCATAGGGACTGCTCCTTTCTTAGATCCAACAGTAAGAAATGGGAGTGTGAGGAGTGTGCACCTTCGCCAGAAGGCTCAGGTGGGACTGAGCGGTGGTCTGGTCTAAGAACTGGGGTGGGGTGGGGGGAATTCTGGTGCCTAAGAAAGGAGGAGGGCATGCCACCAGATGGGGACTTCGTGGTGCCGTTAGTGTGGGAAGGAAAGTGGCTATGGAAGGGCTTGAGGACCTGCACCTGGGAGAGAGAGGGCTGAGTTTTCCTCTCCCACCTTTCTCTCACCACAGACTACTTACCTGAAAACTCAGGTGGCATCCCCCGCCGCAGCACCTTCTACTCTGGGGGGTCATGACTGCAGAGACACCAGCTTGGAGGAGAATTCGGGCCCTTCTTGGACTGATTGGCCAGAACCTTCTTTATTAGAGAAACCAGAATCCTCTGGTGGCAGGAGGGGCCACTTCTGGTGGTCCAAGGGTGTCAAATCACTAAAAGCTGCAACCAATACAAGTAACAGCTTCTAAGTAGTTGCTGCCAAGCACATTTGGCCACAAAGCTCTGCTCCTCCACCAAGTTTGGGGAGGGAGCCCTTTGGGACTGTGAGACTATGAACAAGGAAAGAGAAGTCCCAGAGAGTGAGAACAGAGCAGTCCAGATGCCAACCGCAGAACATGTGTACGGCTATGATAGCTAGCACCTCTGTTCTTTCTGTTTCCAGAGGGTCCTTTCTTCTCTTCCACCAAGATTCTTCCACCCTAATCTGGTGCTCCTATGCCTCTTCTTACTTCACCCAAGTTTGTTATGCAAATAAAGGCTTTCTCTCCATTGGTGTCTCCTTATAAATGCACTCTGGATTTTATCTAGCACAGTAAGGAATCTGGAGGGTAGAAAAAGGGAATAGGAAAACTATAAAATTCAAAGACTTAAATGTAGAACTTTGCATTTAGAACATAGACTCTGCTTTGGAGGGAAGCATTTTACAGGGAAATCGACTTTATAGAGACATTTCATCGTGCAAATAAACACACGGGTTCTCATTAGGGAGGTGAGCCAGCAAAGAAGTCCACATAGACTGAGAATAGGCCATTGCTACAAGGTGTAGGACCCTGGACTCCGTGCTCACATAGAGCAGAAGGGACTCCACTAACCTCCATAGCACGAGTGAAGACACAGCTCCACACACACACCTTCAGCCTGGTGGGTCAGGCATTTCCAGCAGGTAAGGGAGCCAGGCCAAGATAGTTACATTAAGCAAGGCAGCTAGGATGAGAACCTGCCTGAAGGTCTTTGGAGAAATTGAATAGAACCTATCTCATGTTTGTTTGTTTATGATGATTTTGTGTGATTTGGATTATTAGTAGGGCAAACTCAGGACCAGCACCAGATAGTGAATTCTAGGGGGCTCGCTGGGTCATTGTCACTAACGGCAGAGGATGGGGTTTGGGGTTCCTGGAGACTTATATCGAGTTGTGCATGGTGCTTGTCTTCAGATTTGGCCAGTTTCACTTAGAATCACATGACAGTGATGAGGGGTTGTAATCTGTGTCTTTTTGTTATTTAAGTATATAAATAAAGTAATATAGACTTTTAAAAACCTTAAAGTACAAAAAGGATTATAATGAAAAATAGTCTATTGACTCATCCTTCCTACTCTTAGTCCTCCCTAAAGGCAACAACTTTCTACTTCTTTTAGCCACTTCTTTATTTAGTAATCTTAGATATTATTGACTTGCTATTATGTTACATAAATTTCTAGCACCTTTAAATCTTCCCCTTTTCATTCTATTTTATAATTACATCACCTTTTTTAAGCCAGACAATATACCATGATTATTTTTCCTCTCTTGTACATTTTTTAATGAAATAAATATCTGCCTTTTTAAAAAATATATCTTTTTATTGATTTCAGAGAGGAAGGAAGAGGGGAGAGAGAGAAAAAAAAACATCAATGATGAGAGAAATTGAGCCCACTGGGGATTGAGCCCACAACCCAGGCATGTGCCCTTGACCAGAATAGAACCTGGGACCCTTCAGTCCACAGGCTGATGCTCTATCTACTGATGCTCTATCCACTGAAGCTCATTCCACCCGCTAGGGCTCCTGCCCTTTTTTTTTTTCTTTTCTTTTTTTGCTATATGCCCATGTGTAATTCTTCCCAAATGTTCCACGTGATCAGTTGCTTCAAACTACAATTTTCCTTATAGGCTAAGCATCAGATCACTTCAGTTGCACTTCTTTTCTGGAAGATCTGCCTCTGAGAACCTATTCCTTCTGAGCCGCTGCTTCCTGGGCCTGCCACACAGTATCAGCCTAGGTCTCCCCAGAACTGTGCCCCCTTTCTCCATCTTCTCTCCTGTGAGTTTGAGGACTCCGTGCTATGCTTCCTATCCTAAGTCTTTGGACTGTGTCAAAGCTCTGCAAGTGATAAGGTTTTTTAGTTGTGAAACAGTATTTCAGAAACAGTATTTTGCTTGCCCTGAAGAATCAACTCTTGCAGTGATCATTCACAACTGAAAAGACACTTTTCAAGATTAAGACTTTAGTTTCTTAATCTAGTGTTTCTCCAGGCATATTCTCAGACATCTAGGGTAGTATCTTTTCCTTTAAAAAGAGTTAATTTGTACACTAAAGTGTGAGAATCATAATCTTAACTGAACGTAATAGTCCTCTAACAGTGCCCTCAACTCCAGCTGCAGTGGTGGGAGGTGGAACCTGTGGCGGGAGTAGTAGGGATAAGTGGTGCTTTTTGTCACTCAAACATTCAGCTACCCAATCTCCATGTGCAATTGATACAGATACACACACACATGCACCTCACACCTATCAACCATTTCTTACGCCTTTATTCTCCATTGATGAGAATAGCCAACCTCATTGCTATAGGCTAGAAAGTCCAACTTTGAAATGTTCTATTCTTCATCTGAGCCTCATTATAAATCAGTCGTTCTCTACTAAATAATTGGGATTTTTTTCTTAAATTAATTTTTAATTTGGGATAGTTTTAGATTTAAAGAAAATTTGTGAAAGTAGTAGAGAGGATCCCCATTTATCCCAAACCCAGTTTCCCCTATTAGTAACACCTTAATTAGTGTAATACATTTGTCACAATTAATGAGCCAATATCCATACGTTGTTATTAACTAAAGTCCATACTTCAATCAGATTTTCTTAGTTATTACCTAATGTCTTTTTTCTGTTTTAGGATCCCATCCTGGATACCACATAGAGTTGAGCCATGTCTCCTTAGGTTCCTCTTGGCTGTAACAGTTTGTCAGATTTTCCTTGGTTTTGATGACCTCGACAGTTTTGAGGATTACTGGTCAGGTATTTTGTAGAGTGCCTATCAATCTTGATTTCTCTGATGTTTTTCTTATGATTAGACAAGGATTATGGGATTGGGGAGGAAAACATAAGTGCCTTTGTCTTTCCATCATATTGAAGTTGCTTACTATATCAACATGACTTCTCAACGTTGATGTGATCTTGATTATCCGGCCAAAGTAGTGTTTGTCGGATTTCTCCACTGTAAAGTTACTCCTTGTCCCCCTTTCTATACTATACCTTTTGGAAGGAAGTTAACGCTATGTAGCCTACAATGAATGAATGGGGACTTACTCCCCCTCCTTCCTTGAGGAAAGAGTATCTACATAAATTATTTGGAACTCTTTTGCATGGGAGATTTTCCTATTGTCTCCCAGTTATTTATTTTGTTAATCATTTGTATCAGTAAGGACTCATGGAAATGTATAGTATACTTTGGGTTATAATTCAATATTACTTTATTTATTTTGTTGCTCAAATTGTTCTAGCTTTGGCCATTGGGAACTCCTATATCCTTTTTATATATCCTTATTAGTGTGTGTTTGGTTTGTTTTTTTAGTACTTCTTTACTTTTTTGGCACTTCAAGATGCCCAGGCTTATCTTGTATATTTTAAATACCTATTTTCACAAATGATGTGCCTATTTGAATTAATTACTGTTTCATTTTATAGCTTAGGACCTAGAAGAGATGGTTCACTTGTGAAGGATTAAAATGGATATTAATAAAATTTTTCCAAAGTATCTGCTCTCCTCATTCTAATTCTTACCTTTGTAAGAACCATAAACTAGGGCCAGAAATCTCAGAATCTCTTTCTGCTTCCTTTTATGCTCAACCACCTTCTTTCTTGTCAATTTGACTGTTTTTAAATGTTTGCCTTCCTGTTCATCCCATCGCCAGTGCTCAGTTCAGACCTCTGGGCCTCACAAGACTGCAGCAAAGCCTTTTCTCTGCATGGCTTCCTCGGCCCACACACTTTGCTGACACAGCCACCCCTTTCCCTTCTGCAAGTTATCATTAAGACATCTGTTAGCTCTTTACTTAGGATGGCCCCCGCTGAGATTGGCATCCAGGGCCTTCCACGAGTATGGTCCCATTCAGCTGCATCTCCCCGGACCTCTCACCCCGGCACTCTGCCCTGGCTCCCTGACATACTGGGCCCTCGTCTGGGATTCACCGTCTGAAGGGCTCTAACCTCTATCCTCAGCCTGTGGGACCCAGCACAAGGGCCACTTATTCATCTCTAGGTGCTCTCACTGGACTCCACTTTACCCCTATTGTAGCCCATGTCATTCTCCACTTGGTCTACAGTTGTAGATCTGTCTCTCCCACTAAATTGGAAGCCCTTTATGGGCAGGGGCCTGTCTGTCTTATTAGCCTTTATTCCCCTCGGGATTCCACAGTCAGAGGCAGTTTAATATCCACTGAATTGATGGATGTGCTCGTACCCTGTATATTCATATGCCTTGTCTTGCTCTCAAACACCAGAGGGCACTGTTAGCATGTTGTGGAAGATTATAACCCTTTAGACCTAGAAGGTTGAGAGTGGTTAGTGAAAAGCTTGCTTCTATTTTTGGATGCACAGGATTTACTGCTCTTCACTTGTTTGAATCACATCCCTTTGAGTTTATTCATGAATTGTGCTCCTGTTGTGTTTAGAGATTAGTATGAGAGTTACTAACTTCCATCACAGGTCATATCCTCAGACAGGATTGCCTTCATGATCTCTCCAGATCCACAGTAGCTCTTCTAACCCAGCTGTCCTCCTTTCATCCCCTAGATGGGGACTACCAGTCCCAAGGTAATGGGGTGATATGGATCTGTTTCTCTTCTTCCCAGCCTCCTCACCAGACATGCACTGGCACTGCAGCCTGTGGGTAGTGGTTTAAAAGCTCTAATGACTTTTGGGCAGGGTGGGAAATTGTTAAGTGACCCCAGGGCCACTGCATCAGCTCGCTGTGTATTCCCAGGCTGGCTGAGGTGAGTTGTGGCATCATGGGGGGGCCCCAGTTCTGAGAAGGCTCCATCATGACTAAGCCAAAGTGCCCCATTCCAGAGAAGTTGGCTATTTGCAAAGGTCTCATACCTTGTACATTTTGCTCCCAAAAGCAACATGGAAATTGGAGGCCATAAAAACAAAGAGTTGGTGTTTTTCAGAAAATAAAACAAAACAAAAAAAAATTGTCTTCCCTTCTCCCTTGCAAACCCCTTCAGCCCTGGGGTCCCTGAGTAATGGGATAGCAAGAGGCCCAGATGGAAGGAGTGAGGCTCAGGAACCCCTCACCCCGCCCCTTATCTGTGTGTAAACTTGTTCCTTGAGGAATCCTGCCTTACATGTACTCCTGATAAACAGGAAGGCATCGCGCCATTACTGTCCATCCCTCTCAGAGCATGAGACCTGTCTGGACCATCAAAGCTATCCCCAGCCCCCAGGAGTATTCTAGAGGGGACTCCAGCCTCACCACAAACAATTCCCCATTGTGTCCCTCCCACCCGCCTTGGAAA